TGACAGAAAATAAGATAAAACATAAGAGGGCTGGCATGGGAGTGTGGTGTTAAGTCGCTTCACAATAAATAATACCGGTCACACTGGTGACCAGTCAAGGGTGTGTCCTCACTCTGAGGCAGCTATATGGCCTTCAGGACCTGCAAGAAAAAACGGGTAGATGGTATAACAGGCCAAAAAAATCTTTGAACTCTCTCCTGCCGTAAGTCAGAATTTTGCAGCCTGATTTGAAAATTAAAGCTGGGTTTGGTGAAAATGGTTTTTGGTGTGTCACAACCCGGCTCATAGGAAGTGACAATCAAGAGGGAGACCACACACAGGCTTTTAAAGGCTGTAAGACACATTTAATGAAAATAAGGTAAAGCAACTTAAAGACAATTTAAAGGACATAACAGCCATAACTGAACCTTCCAAATGAACAAAATGGGTGCCAGACGGAGAGAGACAGAGCCAAAGCCAGCCTGCTGGTTCAGTCAAGGTGTCTTTATATACACTGGGACTGGCCTCTCAGGTGTGCTGCATCAATAATTGGGTCAGCTCCACCTACCTGCAAGAAACAGGTAAAAGAAAAAACAAAACACAAGGCCAGCCCACTGGCCGTCACACTTCCCCCCATAGAACAGGGTCTCACCCTGAATTGGCAACACATTTACATTATGAATTTGCAACTAGAAGAACATGCACACACATGCAACCTCACTTTCAACACCTTTTGTATGCTCAAAAGTCATCTTCAGCTCAACTCCAACCTCAGCAACCTTGGTACCTAGGAGCAATTTAAGAGGAAGGGAAACCATACTGGAGAGGAGATACTTCAAAGCATATGAGGAGTGAAGCTGCTGGTTACACAGGGGCACGGGACAAAGCATCTGCCAAGACATTATCTTTGCCCTTAATGTGCTGGATATCCAAATTGTAAGGCTGCAAAAAGAGAGCCCACCGCATGAGCCTCTGATTTGGGTTCTGCAATGTGTTCAAGAAAGTGAGAGGGTTATGGTCAGAAAATACCTCAATTGGCCGAGCAGAATCTAAATATACCCTAAAATGCTGCAAGGCCAAGACTAATGCCAAAGCTTCCTTTTCAATGACCGAATAATTCAGCTGATGGGAGTTGAACTTCTTGGAATAGAAACTAACTGGATGTTCAGTACCTTGCTTGTCAGCTTGGACTAGAACAGCACCTGCACCAATGTGGCTTGCATCCACGTACAGCTTGAAGGGCTGATCACAGACGAGGGGCTAAAAGCACAGGTTCAGAGCACAGTAAAGCTTTTACATCCCAAAAAGCTTGCTGGCATGCCGCAGACCAAATGAACTTTACTTTGGCCTTCAACAAATCAGTCAGAGGAGCAACCACTGTTGAGAAGTTTCGACAAAAACAGCGATAATAACCGACCAGACCCAAAAATCTCATGTGTTCTTTTTTGGTTACTGGAACAGGGAACTCTTTGATGGCCAACACCTTTGCATCAACTGGCCTCACATAACCTTGGCCCACAACCTTACCAAGATAGGTCACAGTTGCTTTTGCAAATTCACATTTTGCCAGGTTGATAGTCAGATTTCCCCAAACTAATCGTTCAAACAGAGTGCGAATACGATCCAGATGATCCTCCCAGGTGCTACTATATACCACCACGTCATCTAGGTAAACAGCACAGCCTTTCAGCCCATTAACAACCATATTCATGAGTCGCTGAAATGTAGCTGGAGCATTGCGTAAACCAAAACCCATGACTGTATATGAATAAAGACCAGATGGCGTGATGAAAGCAGATATTTCCTGAGCTCTGGGAGTCAGTGGCACCTGCCAATATCCCTTCAACAGATCAAACTTACTCACATATTCTGCTGCACCGACTTGGTCAATACAGTCGTCAATATGAGGCAAGGGATAGGAATCGGGTTTGGTCACTGCATTTACTTTACGAAAGTCTGTGCAACAACATTGTGATTTATCAGCTTTTTCAACCAACAAACAAGGGGAAGCCCAGCTTGATGACGACGGCACTGCAGTGTTGTTTTCCAACATGTAATGAACTTCCTTATCAATTATTTTCCTCTTTTCCTCAGAGACCCTGTAGAACCTGCATCACCCACATCAATATCATGCTCTATCAAAGTTGTCTCTAAACAAAGTGGGATATCTTTTAATTAATGCAGACAGTTCTGCACATTTGTCAGCAGACAAATGGCCCAACAGCACATCCAAGTTCTGAAGAGTTTCTGAATTCTTCAGACAACCAAGCAATAAAGGATCATCAGGTGCTGCCACATCCTCCCCTCCACAATCTGACTGCGCCATTGTACAAGCAGTCAACCCTGGACTCGACGTGGAAGGAGAAATGAGAGAGCCTGACAGACCGACGGATAAAGGACGAACATGATAGGGTTTCATCAAATTAACATGGCAAAGTTGATTTCTTTTCCGGCGATCTGGTGTAGCAATCAGATAATTCTGTTCAGACAGTTTCTGTACCACGGTGTAAGGCCCAGCAAACTGTGCCTGGAACGGTGACCCTGCAATCGGCAGTAAAGCCAAAACCTGGTCACCCGCACTAAACTGCTGCTCTTCAGAACGCCGGCCATAAAAATATTTCATCTTGACCTGAGCCTTTTCAAGGTTCTGTTTGGCCAACTGACCTGCCACATACAGTCTGTGCCGAAAACCATTAACATAATCGATCAAGTTCACTGGTGGTTCACCTGACAACCACTTATCGCACAGTACTGTCAACAGTCCCCGAACTTTGTGGCCAAAGACCAAGTCATTTGGGCTAAACCCAGTACTCTCCTGGCACACTTCACGCGCTGCCAACAGAAGCCACGGTAAACCTTCCTCCCAGTCACTCCTCATTTCGGTGCAATAGGCACGTAACAAGGACTTCAGTGTTTGATGGAAGCGCTCTAAAGCACCTTGGCTCTGTGGATGATAAGGAGAGGCTTTATTATGTACAATATTCAACAGCTTAAGAACTTGTGCAAATAGATGTGACGAAAAGTTTGATCCCTGGTCACTCTTTCCTTTTTTCTGTGTCCCGTTTGGATCTTTAGCCATCAGAATTGTTGTCTTAAGGCCAAGAAAGATGCCACGTTAATTTATTTTACCAAGTGGATCATCATGGCCTTGCCATATTGGTCCATTTGATTGACCTTTATTATAATTATGAATTTATTTTATTTTCAGTTGCTACAAACGGGACAGACATGACTGAGAGAAAGAAAACCAAAGGGGAGAAGAGACGGTGAGAAGGGGGGAAGAAAGAAAAAACAAAACAAAACACCTGGGTCACCTGTATGGAGAAAAAAAACAGAAGAGAAAGCAAACAACAAAGAGCAACATAATAAAAAAAACGGCACCATCACAATAAACTAGCTAGCAGTAAATATCAGTAGATACTAAATAATAAACGATATTGTGCAGCACGCAAGATAGACAGCGCACAATGTGCTTTGAGGCAGCAGCCAAGAAAGCTGTAGTCTGCGTCTGTGAACACCCGTGTGTACACCTGTGTACACCTGTGTGGATCAGCATGCTTGCATTCCAAAGGTTTCTCCATGTAACGATCTGCTAGGGAGTGTGGGGGGCCACAGCCCCGTCCTCCAGGGTATGAAGCAGGTATGGAGGAGATCAAAACTCCAGACATCCAGAGGCCCCCAGAACACAAGAGACCAAGGAAGACCAACAGAGGGGCAGCCGCGCCACTGTCCCAGTAAGAGCTGAGGAGAGTCCCAGATGAGGGCTCACTCAGCAGCCGCGGAGCAGAAGCCAGGGGGAGTTGCAGTGACGCGCCCGTGAGCTCCGCCGGCAGCCAGCCGTGCCTGAGTGACCGAGCCCCAGGCCGAGAGGCCGGGGGCACCCCACCTCCGAAGTGGCCCGAGCGAGCCCCAGGCTCCAGGCCCCGATAAGCGGCCGCCAAGGAGTGAGCCGGTGTGTACCTGGACGCCCATCCCCGGACACAAAGAACCACCAACGCACCGATGTCTGAGGGAGTCCGCCACTGGCAGGGGAAGTGGTGGTAGGGGGAGATAGGCCTCCAAACCTTGGAGGGCCTGAGATGTCCCCAGAGAGGTGGCGTCTGATACCCAACCTGACATATAGACACAGACATACAGGCACACACAGACACAAACATCCATTCCCACCCTCATGCTCTCATATGCACTTACTCCACACTCAACCAACGTGGAGACAGACATAAAGAGACGCTGTACACACGATCACACTCCCCAAGCGTACTCTACGAACAGGGTCTAGGTACCCTTGCCCCTGGAGGGGGGATCCCTGGTCACTCTGAATAATCTTCGGTATGCCAAATATAGAAATAAACTGTGTCAAAGCCTTCACCACAGACTTGGCTGTGATGGTACGCAGCGGATATGCAGCAGGATAACGCGTAACCTGGCACATTACAGTCAACAGATACTCCGAACCAGATTTTGATCTAGGAAGAGGGCCCACACAGTCAATGATCAAATGTTCAAATGGGTTACTCACAGCAGGGATGGGACAAAGTGGAACAGGTTTAATAGACTGATTTGGCTTACCTACAATTTGGCAAGTATGGCAGGTCTTAATGTAAGCTGAAACATCACGCTTAAGACGTGGCCAAAAGAAGTAGCGCAAGATGTAATTATAAGTCTTCGTCACTCCCAAATGCCCAGATTTGTCATGAGAACAATTCAACACCTCATCACGGTATTTAGTTGGAACCACAATCTGGACAACTGGACTTCCAACACAGTCCAACCCTTGCGGAATCCACCTACGGACTAGTACATCCTTCTGCAGAAAATAACCAGAGGCCGCACTTCTAGCGTCATCACTAGGTTGCACTTTGTGAAACAGCTCAGTCAGTGAAGCATCAGCACGCTGTGCCTGAATTAACTCTTGCTGGGAAACTGACAAATGTTCAGGAACAATCAAATCTGGTTCAACCTGACACTCTTCTGCTTGAGTTACAGGCTCTGCATCCCTTTTAGCTGCAGCCCTCGTAACAGCACAAGCTGCAAAGTCAGAAAAACCCAGCCCACTGGCCGTCACAGGTGTCATTTGACAAAAGAGCCACAAGGACCTTCCAATCTTCCTATAATTTCAATCTTCTAAGGAGGAATTGGACTCAATAATAAGACTCTTCGGACTGGATCAGAGGAAGAGTAGCAAGCAGAGTGAAGAGTAAAAATATCCATGAACGTTCAGTGACACTGCAAGTGAAGCTGAAGACTTTCACCTGTATTCTAGTGAAAAGTCAGCATCGATTCACTGACATGGTTCTAGACCATAGAAAACATGTACATTTGCCTGTGCTGGTGTGATGAGACAGGTGAGCTGCAAAAAGAAGTTAATCTGTTTTACAACACTAGATTTCTCCCTCTGCATCATGTCCCCAGTCAAACGGTTCACAACGTACGCTGACATTTATAAAGCTCTGTTTTTTTGGTTAAAAAGAGCCAAATTTCTGCTCTGAACATATTAATACTAACAAATTAGTTTCAGTTCTAATGTAGAATAGTCATTCAGACTTCCAACTGATTGTCCTGGCTGCGTGTCATAACCGCTCTTCAACACTGTCTGTGTCTCTGGTTGTAATTTGTTTCGCGTAATATGATGATCCAAAGTACATTATGCACAAAAACACATTTGCCATTAAAAACTTGCTTGTTTAAATTGTTTTTCCTTTAAAATGTACTCTTATTTATGTTATAATCATTTAACCACACCTCCATGAGCTGACTTTTATTTTTTCCTCACTGGAGGCTGAAGACTCAAACTTATATTGAATTGTCATCAAATTCATTTGATTTGGTTTCTTTAACCAAATCTAAGACGTAAAAATCAGTTTAGGGTGGGGGATGTATGTAACGCCAACACTACCAGTCCATTAATACACAATCCTGCTCAATCCAGCTGTGACAGATGGTATCTTTAATATGCCAGTGATTAATATGGACTCTGTTACAATGTGACTGCCAAACTGGTGATACTATAAGTCATTATTACCGTGCAGTTATTCTCAACCGTAACTCCTGGCTTTTCCGTGTAAGTCTGTACTCTAACGGTAAAAAGATAAAGCATTATACTAAGTTGACTTTACTACTTTACACACAAGCGTATCAGCTTTGCGTTGTATTGAGCAGCCAGTTCTGGTAAGTCAGCGGTATGTTTTTACTCGTTTGTATATGCTGGTTCCACATGTGATTCGTTTCTTTTCTTGTAACACTCACTCTGTAGGATTCAGACCATGGGAGTGTTTTCCATTTGTTCAGATGTCATGTGCTCTATGTCATGTGTGTGCAGCGCACCAGGGAAGTGATAAATAAAAAAAAGTAAATTTAGAAAAATAAAATGAAGGGAAGGAATGAAGAAAGAACAGTCTTGTCGACAAAAATGGGATGCTGTAATAGCTTGCTTGAAAAGTATTTGGTGGCCCTCTGGATAGCAGCACTTAAAGTTAACTAGGGAGGCCTTGTGCCATTCTCTGTATTCAGGCTGCATAGTAAATTATTGTAGTGTTTTCTGGAAACAATGGGGAGTATTTTTCACATGGGTAACCATGTGCTCTGGAGCTGCAGGCCTGTACTAAACATGTTTTTAATCTTGTTTCAGGAATAGTCATTTCAATTCACTTACACCCCCTTGTGGCAAAATAATAATTTTTTAATATAAACAATTTAGTGTAGTAGATTAAGCATTCACCTAACAAGCAGAATATCCACGGTTTGATCCCAGAGGCCAGACGGATCCTTTTGGAGTTGTGCTGGGAAGGACGTATATTTAAAAAAAAAAAATGAATATATACATTTTTAAAATGCCAATTTAATAAAAAAGTAATTTATAAGGCAGCTTTATAGTGTCTATTCTAATGAAGTCTGAGGAAGTATAGAAATGTTGACCATGTTATTAGAGTTCTGTAATGAAATTGTATATTTTAACAAAGACGTGGTGTGTTGCTTACTGAAGACATGCCTGTTTGACCTCAAATCCCTGACAACAGTGCTCTTTGCATTAATGTTTACATGTTTGATTTCTGCATCCTGACTGACCAATCCTGGGCGAGCTAGTCTGCAGACGGGGCACGATAGTGGGATGGTATCTTACTGAGCACTGACAGGGGGTGACATAGTGGAAGAGGGATGGCAGGAATTAGGCTGCTGAGGATTAGTGTCTGAGCTCTGATTGTCCATTGGCTGAAGAGACATTCTCTGCTCGGCGAGGACCTGAACTGACAATAACAAGCACCATATTCATGCTGTCGTGATTGTTACGGGATTTATATATTTTTTGAATGGATCGTCTTTTTGGGTTTTTTTATGTGGTTTAACTTTATAACTTGTACATACTTTTAGTCAACTTTTTGAAGACATAAGAAAGATCATGGTGGTGCTTCTGACTAATAACGCCAATAATTTTTACTGCTTTCCTACAGTTTCCAAGAGAAGAGGTGAGTGAGAGCAGCATAGGTTTGATCTTATTGGTTGAAGATCCAAACTAATTGGTCCTATCCAGGTTGTGTTTACTATAAATGACCACACAGGCTCGATCAGCTGCCTTGCTTATGGCAGTCAATAAAGAAATTAAAGTCTGGTCATTATAAACCATAAAAACCACTGTTGAGCTATAATATTTACTTTGCAGATATATAAAATGCTGTGATTTTTTTTCTCCTACAGTAGTTACAAATACTTCTCATAATAAGAAAAATATTAAAAAAAAGAACAGCTAGAATTTCAATTTTGCACATTAGGATTTCCTTAACAGTGTATATATACTGCTGTTACAGAAGAGGAAGGTAAGAATTAGCTTTAACTGTTAGGCACGTGGTTAATTCCAGCATGGTCTTACAGTGAGAGTGCTAGGAGGACAGGTAGCTAAAAGTAGGGCAGCTACTGCTGTTACATAAAACTTTCGTAGAAGGCTGCTAGTCCAACAATCCCAGACTGTGCCATGGAGGCATGAGAGCACTGCAGGTATTACATGACATGTCAAATGGGTGTTATGTTTAATTATGTTTAGTTCTTATTGGATTCACGAAGAAAATATGTTGCTCTTTTAAATGTAAAGACTCATTAACTTTAATTTTATATAACGGTCTTAAGAATAGGTTACTCGGGTTTTTGTTATTCTTGAGTTTCACACATGACTGAAAGTAATGCTTAACTTTGGATTGGATCCATCGTTTGAGATGCCATAGCAGTTTAATTAGTGTCCTTCTTACTGTCTCTTTAAATGATGCTTAAGCTGGGAAAAAACAACAGGCATATGTTGCTGCAGGCAGATTTCTGATCTGATAATCCCATGTTGAGGATCACTGTGTCTAATCCTGCATGAGAAGAACTGGAGTTCGGTCTATTCATTTCACACTCATGTGTTAACCCTCAAACATCTTTACTGTTCCTGTGCTTAAATATCCCTGACAGTCACCTAAGTGCTAACCCCCTGTCCATATGGCCCCATCATTTACAGTTACAGTAACACAGAGCTTTGAGTTGATCTGGCCTGATCTCCTCTCCCTATCTTTTTTTTTTTTTTAAAGCTGCCCTAAAGCTAGATGACGATGAAAAGACCCCGGCACCCCCATTGTTCCAGGAGAATGTGTTCATTGAGTCCAGCAGGCCCAAGTACCTGGAGGACCTTCACACTGAGGCTCTGCAAGGACTGAAAATGATGCAGGAGGAAGGTATAAAACCAACTACTGATATACCCAGTACATGTTTGTTCTTCCCTAGATTTTGACACTTAATTAAAAAGTCCCATTATCAATCGAAAAATGTTCTTGTCTTTTCAGAAACCAATAATGGAGTGGAATACCAGGACAGCGTAAGCACAATTGTAAGTTACACATTATATACAGATTCTTGTGCTTTCTAATATCACAAATGATTTGTTAAAACTTTTATTAATGTAATATAAGTAATCTTTCTGTTTTTGCTAGTCGACAATGACAGCTCAAACAGATGGAGAAAGTGCTGGGTTTATGACGGACAGCACGATTCCTGATACGTCTTCTGTCGCCTCTGTGCAATCGTCAGTGTCCACTAGATCCTCCCGCTCTGGACTCACCAGACAAGGTAAATTAACCACAAGCCAAAACACTATTTATATCCACTATTTGTCATTATGCAACGCGCTTTGACATGCTTGCATAAAAAATTTAATTGACGACATGTGGATAAACATTTATTCGCTCTACAGGTTCAACATTCAGACCTTTGAACTCTGGGAAAAAGTCAGAAAAGACCAGGACCAGAAGACGCCACAGGAAGACTGTTGTGGGTATCCCACATCATGTTCAGAGAGAGCTGGGTATGCAGTGACTTTTTTGAACTGTATGAACTGTTGGGTCTGTCTAGCACAGGCCCACCGCTGGAACGGGTGGGGGGGTCAGAGTGTGACCCCATAAATGACTTCCCTAAACCTGCTGGTCTGGAAGTCCAGCAGTTCATCTAAACAAAAGGCACTTAGACTAAAACAGATATAGCCACGTTTATCCTACCATAAAACAATAAAACAAGGTACGACCTCTTCTCATGCTCCCAGGATGTAGGTGTGCGAATACACACCAAGCCTTTGTAGCCTGCTAAAGATCACACATCCTATCACTACACAATTGATTATACACCTCTAAGCATATATGGTTAAATATTTCTAAGCATAAATGACAATCAACAATACAAAACCTAACATGAACTATTCAAGACTGCTACAGTATCTAAGATGTTTATGTTGCAGATTCAAAGAAAGACAATTAGTGCATAACTAGCTATGTTAATTCTGAAAGGTTGTGCTGTTGTTTTAGGTCTGGACAGAGTTGACTGGACACTGAATCCAAAGTTAGATGAGGAACAGCTTTTTAATGGCGAGACTAATCTCAGTCCAACTACAGATGGGCAACAGATGGGATCACAGTCTGAAAAAGGAGCCAGTATTAATGTTCCAGGCATAAGCATCCAGCCTCTCAACAAGAAAAATGTCAAGCAGCTCGGTGCTACCCATGCTGCTCATAGAGATGATCTCGCCCTGCTGCACCGCCTGCGTCCCGCCTTGGAAGATGATCAGAGGCCTCGATCTTTAGCTGTACCCTGGTTGACCACTGCCTCCAGCCTTCAACAGGAGCTCCCCAGCCCCGTCATGTCCATGTCACCCCAGGCTGCTTACATGTCCAAAATCATTCCCAATGCCATTTTGCCACCCGCAATCGATGTGGTGGAGATCAGCCGTGGGCGTAGTCGGAACAGTGTCCGCACTGTCAGCAAAAGCAGCCTGATGCTCTCCAGCCCAGCTCCGTCCCGTGCTTCTTCTAGAGCATCTTCAGTGAGAACCTATTCCTCCAAATCGTCCACCATCACCTCTGCCTCTCGCAACAATCCTCCAAATCTGTCTGACACGTCGTGTTGGAGTAATTCTGACTCGTCCGAGACATTGGTATCTGACTCTTCAACCATCTCCAACAGCAGCACCCCAAAGCAAAAGAGAAATGGCAATGCTTCTGCTAAGGAGGACAAAGTTGATGCTCACTCCTCTATAAGCAAGGCCTCCAGCTCCAATGGCAGGGTGATCGTCAGGGGAGATGAGGTTAAGAAAGACGGACAGTTTGTGCGTAGCCTCTCTGTTACTAAGCCAAAAAGGGCCCCTCCTCCTCCAAGCCGGTCCTATTCCCTCCACAGTAAAATGAAGCGCCAGCCCCGTTATCCAGCAGAGATTAGGGTCTTGCCAGGAGAAAATTCTCTCCACAGCAATTCAGCCCCAAGTGAGGAAAGTGACCAAAACCAATCTGACTCTCATCCCTCCAAGACTCTGGACAGCCCTGGCTACAATGCTGACACCAGTTCTCTGGATGATTCAATGGGCTCTTCGTCAGTCGGTCCCTTTAGAACTCAGCTGCAGGCAATCAAAAGATCGAAAGATGCTTCACAAGAGAAGCAGGAACTGCTTGAGGAGAATAAGCTAAACAATGTCAGTGGCAACTCCAGCCAAGATGGCACATTCCCACAGCTCACTAAACAAGCTAACGGTTCATCTCCAAAGCATAAGAACAGCATTTTAGCAAAGCTTCAAAAAGTATTTGCTGGATCCTCTTCAATTAAGTCAGAGTCATCTAAATATAATAAGTGCACTGAGGAACATAAAGCTGATTCAAAACACACTGTCAGTCCCTCTGTACAGGCCTTGATAGAACTTTTCAATATCCCTCCACCACCTAAAATCCATGCACCTCCACCTCCTCCACCTGAGGTATGGTCCCATAGTTTGCGTTCATGTGAGCTGATCCTGGGACCCCCAGCCCCTGGCAAGACTTATGCTATTGCAAAGAAGAACCCGAAGGACCGGAGACAACAGAGGCAGTCTCCTGCAGCTGCTGAGGAGTTGGCTAAGAGCTTGGCAGTAGAAAGAAAGCACAAAAATCCATCAGTGACGACAGAGTCTGTTAATGGATCCCTACATGTGCTAGAATTGAAGAAAGTTCAAGAAAGTGGGATTTTGAATGCGGAGATTTGCAAAGATAGCAATGAAAGACTGGCTCAGAATGTAGATTTGAATGGACGTGGTAAAGATGAGAAAGGGAGAGTAAGTGATATGTTGAATGGAATGTTAATGAAGGCTGTAGAGAGACGAGAAGAAAGACTTGCAGCAATAAAAGAAGAAGCAGCTAATAAAACAACCGGCCAAGCTACAGAGGTAAAGACTAACACTGATAGAGCACCTGCCATTTCATTAATTCACATTTCCCCAGCGCTATCTGCTCCTCTGGTGCAACGTGTTTCCCAGCCCCTCCCCAGACAGACCACAGAAATCAATTCCATTACATCAGTAAAAGTTGTATCCCCCGAATCTTCCTGGCCCCCTCCACCACCACCACCGACATCAGGTAGCCCCAGTGGGCCAGATGAAATAGATTTTCCTCTTCCTCCACCTCCACTGTTTGGTGATGATTCACCCATTATACCTGTTCAGGTTCCACCAAAGTCCTCCCTCAGGAGTGACTCCTCTTGCACGACTGCATCGGTTATATCAGTAGGGAAAAAGGACATCATTAAGGTGATCATGGAGCCTGAACTTCACAAGTCCAGTACATCTCAGGGGGTAGCACCTTCTCCCTTAAATATCCCTCCTCCCCCACCATATACAGCACCCCCTCCACCACTTACAGAGGTTCTGCCTACTGCAACTGATAAGGCATCTCTGACACTTTCTCCACCACCACCTGTAGAGTTTGGTCCTGTAATACCAAAAAAGCTACCTTCACCCGTGGTTCAAGATGTGCCCCCACCTGTTAAAGACATCTCCTCTACCTTATTAACATTAGTATCTCCTTCACCAGCTAAAGTCGTCTCACCTCCTCTAGTTGTTGAGGTCTCACATCTGCCACTCAAAGAGGTGTCTGCTCCGTCCTCTGAAGAGGTTACGTCTCCTCCTTCTCAAGAAAATATGTCTAATATCTCTGAAGAGGCTGAATCTATCAGCAAGCTCACTCCACCACAAAGTATTCCACCTGCACCACCCCTGCCAACACAGCCAGAATCATCAGAGCAGAAGATTGAGCTTCTACAAGAGGTCTCCTTTGAACCTGAAGCTAACACAGTTTCATCTAACAGTGTTCTTATCCCCCCTCAGAATATTCCCCCTCCACCTCCCACAGAGCTTCTCCCACAATCTCAGGTAGTAGCCCCAAAAACTGATGTTCTGACAACAAAGGAGGCCTCACCTTCACCTCCATCTGAAGTATCAATACCACCACCATCACCACCTGAAACATCTTCACCAGAAAAGACTCAAGTATTTGCTCCTTCTGAACCTGTAAACATCCCTGTACCTCCACCGTTACCAGTTCAGGGGCATGCCAGCATTAAGGAGCAGCCTATTCCTTTAAGCACAGAGAATAAAACCCAAGAGCAGACTTCTACCCCAGTTGTGCAAGAAGAACCTATGCCCATTGTCACCCCTTCCCTCCTGCAGATGGTCAAATTGCGGTCAGTCAGCAGCAGCCCTGAGCCCCCCAAAGCTGAAGAGCAGCAACCACAGGCTGAGGTCACAAGCAGCAATCAGTTCCCATCCTCATCTGCTAATGGTGAGGCTCCTCAGAAGCCCATCAGAAAATCTCTAATCATGACCTCTTCTACACCCATTCCTCCACCGGAAACAGTCCCTTCGCAACCAACTGTGCCCAAGTCCCAAGCTGACGTGGTTCCTCCTTCATCTTTGTCCATAGCCACCTCCCCTACGAAAAAGGCTTATTCTGCCGTGAACACTACCCGTTCCATGAACCTACAGGAAGCCATCCGCATGAGGACAGCAGCCAGATCTCAACAAAGTCCAGCGTCTCGCCTCAGCTTGCAGCCTCCAACGTCACCACTGGACCTTCACAAGTCCCCCAGCACCACTGCAAGCTTTATCTTCTCCAAGAGCAACAGGAATGTTGTGACTGAGACCAAGCCAGTGCCGGTGGCCAAGGAAGATGTACACAAGGTGACCAGTGAAGCAGAGTCAATGAATAAGGGAGCCAAGGTGCCACCACCTGTTGCAAAGAAACCCAAAACAAGGGGCAGCGAGGTTGAGACGAGTGAAGATGTGGACCAAACTGCAAGACAGGAAGCGCAGCAGGAAAGTATCAAAGGTAATGTATATCAGCCCAGATTTTTTTAAAAAGGCATGCAACACATGACAAATAGAAAGAGAGTGACCAGATGTGGCGCATGTCGTGCACATAAAGATCATGAGTGGGTGTGAAAAGCCCCCAAAACAACAAAAAAAAGACAGTACAGATAAAGAAACGGGTCAAACGCAATGCAAATTTTAAGCCTTTTTACTCAGTTTAGTGATCAGCGCTTCACATGCTGTTTCCCAGCAGTTTCCCATATTAACTTTATGCTATAGCTTAGCCACATGCTATGCTAACATTTGCTAAGCAGTGGGCAATAAACACACTACAGCAGATCCGTTGATGGTAATGTGGGTAAAGTATTTAACAGACCAACAAATAATAGTTTTTCAGGGGGAAATGTATGTTTTGAGATTATGATGCCCAGCCATTGAGTACTTGAGATGTTTTCCCAGTTTGCACCAAACGGCTAACACTGCCATCTACTTGCCTAAATAGCTAAAATATTTTTTTCTGTACAATTCTTTTGGATGTAGACAAACCAACTCTGTGTACATTTCCAACTTTAGATGCTGCAGAGAAAACAAATGGAACAGCTGGTACTGTTGAAGGAGGGTCGTCATAAACATGATTATAAAGACTGAAGGAGACCTCTGCAACTGGATATGGATGGATGAGATGCTTCACTCAGAAACTGCTTTTTTTTAAGGTTTTGGAGTTGTTTGAATTTAATGGTGTGGGTCCTAATTTTCTTGAGCTCATTTTGCATTTTATAAAGAGATGTATATTTTCTTTACCAGAGGGTCTTTGTCGCCCTCTAGTCTCAAATAGTGATTGTACCACTTATGTCCTGCTGAATCAATCCTTTAGTCAGTACTTGGAACAATGGGACTTTTGGGCACTCATCTGTAAATATAGCAGCATTATGTTTATTTAACATATCCAGTAATGGTGGATTTCTTCTACAGAGTTATGTTCTGTATCTTTTCCAAAAGTTTCCACACTAATTGTATTTGTTCCAAATACTATTAATTATCTTAAGTTATTTTTTCTGTCACATTTAGAGGACGACCTCTACAGACAGAAAGTCTTCTTTGCCATGTTTGCTAAAGAATGACATAATAAAACAGTCTGTTGCGTAGCTCTACAAGCATGCAAATTTATATTTTAGATCCCACACACAGACACATCACACACTAGAATGATTATAGTGCACATTTTCTGCTGCTTTTTAGTTACAGATAATGGAGGCAATGCCTTTCTTCCCAGTTATGGCTTAAACTGTGGGATATTTCTGTATTGAACTATAATATATTTCAAACTGGTTTTGCAGACAACTGTAAGAATCACCATTTATAAAGAAAAATTAAAGATTCATCGATAAACTAAAATACTGTGTTGCCCATCTTTTTTTTCTCCTTGCATTGTTTTACTTCAGGGTCAACTGTTTAGAGATTCTACCCTTCACAAAAATGTAAAGGAACACTTTGAAAACACATCAAATCTTACTGAGGGAAAAATGCTGCTGGATATCTACATTGATATATACTGGGCAATAAGAACAAAAGGATACCGCCTCATTTAAAAGAATTGAAAATTTAACTACAGTAGGTTGAATTTAAAGAAATGCTTAAAATCAGAGTGAAAATTATGCAGCAGGCTGGTCCATTTTGCCAAAATTTCATTGCAGCAACTCATAATGGACACTTAGTAGTTTGTATGCACGTCATCACAGATGGACCCACTGTTTCAGCGTAGGTTCTGGCAGTGGGTCCAAGGACTTCATTGTGACACCTAATGGCAGTCAGGGTGCTGTTGCCTAGCCTGTAGAGGTGCAGCTAATGGTCCTGCTGGTAGGTTAAGGACCGATGGAATGTCAGTGCTCTTGAGACTGTGCTGGGACACAGCAAACCTGGCAATAGCACATATTGATGTGCTCTCCTGGAGGAGTTGTACATCCTGTGCAGCCTCTGTAGGGCCCTGGTATTTCCTCATGGTACCTCTAGTGACACAGAGCCTAGTGAAACAAGAAGACAATAAAGATGAGGGGAAAAAAAATAAAATTTCAGTGGCCTCCACCTGTAAAACTATCCACATTTTGGAGGTTGTCCTATTGTTGCCCCTCTAGTGCACCTGCTATTAATTTCAAAGCAGCTGAGCCTCTCTGCTACTCACTTAAACTTCAGTACCCCAGAACTTTAACCGACCTGATGCTGTTCTCTGATTAAGAAGTGCTCCTTTCATTTTTCTGTGCAGTGTACGTTCCTAGAATGGAAACTGTTTTTAAATGAAACAAAGTTTGTTGTGTGAAGTCATGAATGACAAGAGTCAGTTGATTTCATTTTCACATTTTATTGAAATGAGTCAGACTATGCAGAGCTCCAGTCTTAAGGCAGTATACTTGATTAATTGATCAAACACTACCTCCAAAAAAAATACCACGTCATCTCCCCGCCATCTTCTGCATCTGCTGTCCTGCTGTCATTCTTCAACTGCACCTCGTGTGACGTCATCAACCCCTTCTCCTCAACCTCCACCTCCTTCCCTCCATGTTTCCGATTTCCTCCCTCATCTCTAGAATCAGGTGGCTGTATATCAATCTTCAACAGTGGCGACTGCTCCAAGTGACTAATCCTTTCACTTTCCTTCTGATTCAGATCGTTCGCTTGCTCTACATTATAAACTTCATTTTCACTTCTCTCATCTGAATCCTTTTTTTCATACGGTGACTCCTCCTCCCTCAACTTATCTAAACGCTTCACCTCAGATTCATTCCACTTGCCCTTTAAGGCCCTCTCCCCAAAACCAAAATCATCTAAATTAAGTCCCGTCATCGCTCCAAATGCAATTCCACTTTCTTCTTCACCATCATCATTATACTTTACTACTTTTCCCAAGAACCTGTCCCGGCTGTGCGTCTCATTACTGTAACGATTTGTGGTCCTCTGTTGTTTTCTTATGCTGTCCAGAGGGAGGCTGACTGGTAGAAACTGGTCCTTTGCTGTGTACGACTGATCCGACACCAATAATGACCCACTGCTGGCAGAACCTTACAAACAAACAAACAAACAAACAAACAACAACAAAAAGTAATTTTAATTTTTTAACTGACTAACAGATTTAATGTTCGTATACAATTGGATGTTTTACAGTTTCCCATAACTGTATATTCGATTTTTGAATACACAGTTAAGTCCATACATTTATTTGGACAATGACACATTTGTAATTTTACCTTGCTACACCATCAAAGTAGGGTTTTAAACACATGTATATATAAAAAACTATTTAAATTGTACACTTTAAGCTGTAATTTTAATCATTTAACAAAAGTATTGTATCAGCTAGTTAGGATTTAAAGCTTGAACTTGTATTTGGTAGCTGTTCACTGGAACTCAAAAAATGAAATCCAGAGGTGTCAGCGGCAGAACATTAAGTGAATCCCCTGCCAGGCCTTCTCAATCACCAACTGCAAACGATTTGTATCCAATTAATTAAGAAAAACATCTTTATATTTCAAATTATATTAGTTTGTCATCTTTGAGCCTCTGAAAATTGACGGCTATGTGTAAAAATGTCTGCAATTCCCAAACAGTCGATGCAAAATGCTGAATATCTTAAATTAAAAAGGTATAATAATGAGATTGTTACAGACCTTCCATCATAGCCCTCCGGGGCTTAGGAGTCACACACCGGGACTCACAACATTCACATATGGAGTCATCACCAGTAAGCGCCCTCCACCTGTTATAGCATATGTATTAACAGTCCCCCTGGAAACAGCTGGGAAATCTACAGTTCTGTTGGTATATCATCCTATTATTCCTCACCTGTTGCCCCTGTACGTGCAGGATTTGTGCACAGGACTTGGATCCTCTGACGTGACAAACAACCTGCAGTAGATACTGACCTAAAACAGAAACGGGATTATGCCGCAGTGCTTAGCTGTGTAAACTGAGAGAATCATAGATTGTCTACTCTCACCTCAGTGTTTGGATCAGCAGTAAACTGGAAGGCCAACACGGAAAGTCTCACAGTCCTATCTGTCTGGGAAACAAACTCAGAGGTCCCCAGGTCTCCCTTGCTGTCCAGCATACAGCTGCAAACATCAATGACAACAATATGGAGTAAAAACCCAAAAATTTAAATATGTAGCTTTTTCTAAATCTCACATTCGTCACAGATTCACTCCTTTTCTCCACATTTAGTTTAATCAGGTCACTCTATCCACACTACATACCCAAAGTTGTCTATGATGGAGTACTTCAGGGACGATCTAGAGCCACTAGATGGAGCTGCATAGCAGCTACGTATGTAGAGTTTTCCTCCAGCAGGCAGATGAGGAGCAGAAACCTGGATATGAACCTTTTGCCCAAGCTGGTAGACCCGAGTGGTGACCGGTCTACTCCATGAATCTACAAACGTGAAACACGTTGAATGTGAAACACAAGTACCCAGCTGTTTAGGATCTGCCAAAGTCTGTTCTGCTGCATAATGCAGACACCCATACCATCCATCAGGGTAATCTGGTAGTCCGTGTGACGACTTTTCAGCCTTTTACGGAAAACAACTGTTTCCCAGGTTGGTTGGACAGCCAGTTGGTGCACATGATGGTTCCTGTGGAGGGCAGACGATTTGGAAGCTTTCAACACTGACTAAGTGTTCGCACACCTTCTGTATAAAGCAAACCAACATGCCTAACCTTGGGTAGCGGCATTCAATATCTACATCCACCCGGTGCGCTCTGCTTGGAAATCGTTTTGGCGACGGCTCATAATGGAGCACGAATTTATAAACCAGATAACCGGGGGGCATCTGTCAGGAAAGGTCAGAAAGTGTGAATGCAAGATGACAGATGCAGCGAGAGAGGGATTGAGCACCACCCATAGCTTACCTCACGTACGCCATCACAGGCGGTCAGGGGATACGAGAAAAGAAGGTCGCCGTATGGTCTAAGAAGCCCGTTGCTTTTACAACTGCTGCCTAACAACAGTTCCTCTGCTTCTGCGCCCAGACCGTAGAAAGCTGGTTTGATCCTGACGACAAAGTCAGATGTGGAGCAGGTTACAGAGACGTCCGGGAGGTAAGCAAAGTCTGACTGGATCTTTGCCTCGGGTTTCCCTGGTCGCATGGGTCCAAGTGTCACAGGTGCTGAAGCGGAATAGGACCTTTGGTAATCCAGCTGAGGCTCTGGAGGTGTGTCGGCAGGTAGCCTCTGGTTGGATTCTCTATCTTCAGCTAATGGAAGTTTGATTTTCGGAGCGCCCAGTTTGAAAACCACTTTCCTTCTCGTAAGCGGAGAGTCATACGTGTCCGCCGCAGAGCTTAGAAGGCCAAGTGATAAAACGCTCCACAAAATAAAGGGATACCACTTTGTTTTCATCGCAACAGACGGACAGCGGTCCATCACTCCTTCTCTTTAATGCATGCGTAGAAACGTCGCCGTCACGGCTGAAAGCAATTAGATGCGATGAACCAGAACTATTTGGTCGATTTAAGCCCCTAAAATAAATCAATTCAATTCAATTTTATTTATATAGCGCCAAATCACAACATAAGTCGCCTCAAGGCGCTTCATAGATACAGAGAAAAACCCAACAATCATATGACCCCCTATGAGCAAGTGTCACTGTCACTACCCTGGGGATCATCCAGAAACTGTGACACATCTT